CCCCGCACAGGTGTCGCCTGCATGGGGGCGGGCGGGCTGGGGGGGAGGGCTGCTCTAATCCATTTTCACTCTCCTGGAAAAGCCCAACTCCACGTACGTCATATGGATAATACAGGGACAAAGCGAAAATCATGAAGGTAGAATGGGACTCACTGTGGTCTGGGAGGACACTCAGACCATCAGGGATGGGCCCTGGGCCTCTAGGTACTTGGCCCAAGCTCCTTCTGGTTCACTCTCAGACCAGCCTGAGTCTGGCACCCTCGGGGGTCTGCTCTGATCTGCTGCTGGGCTAGAAAACTAGCTTTTTAAAACCTCAGCACTATCGCTTTAGCATTTTTAAAGTTACAAATAAGAAATCGCCCTTCCTGTTCTTGCTTCGGCAGCACATATCAAATTCGTGAAGCGCCTGTATTTTAAAAAAGAAAAGAAATGAAGAGAAACGGCCCCTCACCGTCACATTTGCCCCACGGGGGACACGCGCCACAGGCTCTCCGGGCGGGGGCCGGCAGGACACAGCTGGCCGTGCCCGTAAGAGTGAAGTGTTTGCCCTGGCAGCGGAGAGCGTGCACCTTGCAAACGGTCAGGGGCAGTATCCTGCGGCTTTTCTCGTCCCGAGCACATACATCCAAGGAGGACCTGGAACGAATTTGGTCAAATCATATTATTTACCAGAGTTTCATTCCTCGAAGCTGAGGATGAGAAGTGGCAGGAGAGGCTCTGAGCTCAGGGTCCCAGGTGTCATCACCCACAGCGAAAAGATGGAACAGAACTCACATCCCCTTCCTCACGAGGGCCCAACCCCCTCGGAGCCTCTCGATGAACAGGTTTGGCTCTTTATTTGCTCAAACTTCTAGAAGCTTAGATATCTAGTGTCGATCTAGTTTCACCTGGGTCAGGTCGGATACAGTAAATTAGAAGAGAAGGCAAGCTCTGCTGGGACAGCTAGGGGACTGATGGCAGGAAGGAGACAGAAAGTTTGCAAAGACCCAGCACCCAGAGGCTCTGGTGAGATGGGATCGCTGAGTGCGGGACACAGGAGCTCTCCCAGCCCCGCGGTCCGGAGAGGTCAGGTCGCAGTGCAGCGCTGTCCAGCAGCTGATGACCAAACCCTCAAGGGAAGGCAAAAGTGCTTCAGTGCTATTTTTTTAGTGTCTTTGTTTACAAAATTCTTTAGAAACATTTCCATAAAATGTGTTATTTTTTTTTTTTTTTAAGCATTGGTGCCAAAATGATGAGATCCAGCTTTCGAGAAACGTCGCTCATAAAACCCACCACATGCCCAGCTGGGCGTGGCTCAGAGGTTGAGTGTTGACCTAGGATCCAGGCGATCGGGGTTCGATTCCCGGTCAGGGCACATGCCCGGGTTGCGGGTTCAATCAATGACTCTCTCATCATTGATGTTTCTATCTCTCTCTCTCCCTCTCCTTTCCTCTCTCTGAAATCAATAAAGATATATTAAAATAAATAAAAAATTAAAAAATAAAACCCACTACATCCCTGCATGTTGATGCATAAGGAGCCATTACTGGAGTGAAACCTTGGACAGCGCAGCATTTCTGTATAGCGGACGAAGTCTATCTTCACTTACAGATCTATCGAGCTCTCATATTTTCTTCTCCATTTGCTTGGAGTTGTTTACACAATGAAAACAAATCCTTGTATCTCTCTTTCATCTGCTTCTTTAAACTTTAAATAGAACAACTCAGAGCTCCTTAAAAGGCAGAGACTCCACACCTCATCCTCAGTATCTGCTCAGGAACCTCACACACACAACATGTATAAACGGCAGGCTGCAGACACACTAAATGAATCATTGAAGGTAGAAAGACGATGTGAGTGAGTCAAAGTAAATGAGGTTAATAGGACATAACAGCACAGTCAGAACACGTGGGGCCGAACACCACTGCCGCTCACACTGTTCCGCTGCGCTTTCCTTCACGCAAGAAGTCCCTTCCTGCAAGATGCTGCCGTGATTGTCACTACCCACTGCAGGTGCCCATGGAGCGGGGTGTGCACTTTGATGACAATAATAATTGACAGCCAAGTAAGTGGCCAGGAAACGTGTGCTCTGACTGAGTCCGGGAGCCTGGGTGTCTCCCACGTGCCTCTCCAGCACCTTCCTCTTCGCCTGCCTGGGGGGCTGCCGTGTAAAACACATCAGTACCCCTCCTTGTCACCCTGGCGGGTTTGGCTCAGTGGTTGGAGCGTCGGCCCTCAGACTGAAGGGTCCCGGGTTTGATCCGGCCAAGGGCACGGACCTCAGTTGCAGGTTCGATCCCTGGCCCCGGTAGGGGTGGGCGCAGGAGGCAACCAGTCAACATGTCTCTCTCGCATAGATGTTTCTCTCTCTCTCTCCCCCTTCCACCTTCTCTGAAAAGCAATGGAAAAAATATTCTTGGGTGAAGATTTAAAAATGTGTGTGTATATATATGTATACACACACACACATATATACATATGTGTGTATATATCCCCTCGCCCTCCAGCTTTGGGGGCATTTAACCAATGGGGAGCAATGGTAGGGGACTGGAAGGAGAAGAGAGTGAGTTCCTGGCTCCCTCCTGGGGGATCCCCGAGGTCCCTCCTCAGTGGCCATCTCCACACCTCCCTCTGTCTCTAGGTTTTCATAAATGCTCCTCTCTTGCTCCTTCAGGCTTGGGCATAGGCACAGACCTGGGCTGTGACCCATCAGGACGCTGCCCGGTAGCCTGCAATGTCCTTTACTCTCCCACACTTCGGTCAGTGGTCCCTCCTGTCACCCTCCTCTGTCCTGGTTAGTTGCACCACCTGTACCCGACTAGGACCCTGACACAGACATCCGGTAACTCCTTCAGCCCTCCTCCCACAGTGGACTGGCTTCCAGTTGGGTGGCCTCTTATAAAGCAATCTAGAGACAGACATGCCAAGAACCGGAAAACCTGCTGCTTTTTTCACTATGGACATTGCTTAAGAGTTTACGTCTCAGGAGGATTTCAGCCTGATCCTCTCACACTCTAAATCCTCAGGTGACAGTCCAATGCCCCCAGTTGTCAGCCCTGGTGACCCAGGCAAATAGCAGGCGGCAAATGGAACAGACGAAAAGGTGAAGGCCCTTAACCCTTGGTAAGCAGCGCCTTCGACCTAACCGAGACCAGCATCTAAGAAATCATCATCTTTACCTCGGGTAAAAGAAAACAGAGAAAAGGAGCAAAGGCGGGGCTCACCGACATTCGTAGGGCAATTTGCAAACACATCTCGAATTCTTCACCTTCTCCCAGGGCCGACACTTAGGCACTGCCTGAGTCACAGGGGCATCTAAAAAGCAACAGAGGGTCTCGTATTGTACCCTAGACCACCAAAAGGACATTCGTGGGAAAACTGGCAGCATATTAACAAAGCCTGTAGTTTAGTCAGTAGTATTGTAATAATATTAATGTCTTAATTTTGACCAACTCAATTATGTCAAGTTATGTGACACGTTAATATTATGGAAAGGTGGGTAAAGGGTATCTGGAAACTATATTTGGTTAAAATAGTAAATTTCATGGTAGGTACAGTTTACCACAATAAAAAAGACTACATAGTGATGGGGCAGGTCTTGTAAAACATTAACTTCAGAGGCTGACAAACCTGGAACTTTTTGTTTATTATGGGCTTACTTTAAGGGTAGTCATTGTTAGCTACATCTTCCAAAAAACACGCAGGTCTGAAAAACATCCTCAATTAAAACTTTAGTAAGATTTGCTCCTGTGTGGGAGAACTTTTATACCAAACCGTGCTCTGAAACGGCCGAAGCAGGCATTTTAGAAAGACAAGGGTATAATCTCCTTTGGAATCAAGAAGCGACCCCATCACTGCGCCCCCTTCTCGTTCATTTTAGAATTACTGGCACAGGTCCCCTGCTTCAAATATCCCAAATAAATTTGTATTTATGCTTCAGTGCACGTAGGAAAACACAGCTGCCTCTGATGCGGGCCTTTGACGGCTGAAGAGCACACGGTGGCGGCTCGGTGGGCGCTCGGGGGCTGCCCTCCCCTCCTGCCGCCACCGTCTGTCCAGGCCACTAGGCCACTAGGCCACTAGGCCACGCCACGGCTCCATCAGCCCCCCGCCGCTCCCCAGCCTGCGCCCCGCAGCCGCGGCCACCCGAGGCACCGAGCGGCATCACTCATGGGACCCAGTGCTACATCCACCGGCAGAGACAAATTCCAGCATTGAGTTCAAAAGCGGGCGCTAGGAAATAAGAATAAAATGGAATGTAAAAGAGATTTTCTTCTTTCCTGTTTTTAGTTATTCTAAACATGTGTTTTCTATTTATTTTTTTTAAATGCCAACAAAGAAAAAATAAGAGGTTTTTTTAAAAAACAAATCCATCTCATCTTAGATATTTCTAAAAAAGAAAGAGTTTGGCTTTCCCAATCTCTTCCTACCTTAAATTGTTTTAAAAAAATTAATTAATTTGCCAATGTTCAAAACACTAGATTTTGGGGTTTACACTATTAAGAACAACTTTGCAAAACACAACACTCTTTCTTCAATAACTTCTGCTTTGTGGTATTCAATGTAAATGCTTTTAAATTTTCAATTTCAGTAATACTAATAAATTCCCTGAAAGCCCATAAATAAAACATACACAATGTTATGTAAATTAATATCTTAACTTTGTACTTAACAAAAATACATTTAAAAATTAGGAGGAAACCAGTAATTAGCTTTTAAAAATCCGTTTCTGTGGCACCATAAGTGGTACAAAACTAGTCTTTGATATAAAGGGCTTCAGTTCAAATTTAAGAATCACCAGGGCTATTCTGCTTTTCTTTGCATTCCTTGAGTCTGTCTGTGCCACATAAAAAAGCCTGTTATTTTATCTATGAACTGACCTCCTTCTCATGGGGGCGAAGGGTTGAGACGGAGGCAAGGACTCAACAATTACAGTGATTCAGGGCCATAAAGGACCACCACAAGCACCGTCACTCGCCTGGGGGCAGGTGTCCCTGGACAGACCTGGGACCGCTCACCTTTCTGCACACAATGGGCGTCTTTTATCTCAGGACTCCATTTAAGGCTGGATCCACAGAGAAATGTCGAAGGACCTTCTAAGGACATGCCACCCGAGCAGGAGAAGGTCACCTTGTCTCCCACTGTGTAGAAAGGTTTCTGGGGATGACTCTGTACACCATCCATCAGTGTAGGCAGAACACAGGCAATTTCTAAAGATAAAAACCAAGAGAGCAGAATACAAGCGTCATTGCTTTCCTAAGCCATTTCTTAAAAACATGACAGCCTCGAATGGTACTGACATACCTGCTCTGCTTTTGCACATTAGAAGACAAGAAAGAAGAGTTGAGTTCACTCTCAGGAGACATTAACCACTGAATGACGGAAGACCAAAACAGCTCCCACCCTCCACGCCTACCCTCAAAACAATGTGACAGCTTAAAATAAATAAGCCTTATAAACAGAGTCCTAAAGTCCAGCCTGCTGTCAAAACCAGACTTTCCACAGCTGCCACGGATCTCTCTGGTCTGGGAGAACTTCCCAAGAACTGTGTTTATTTGTATATCATTAGCATGGATCCAGTTGGATATTTTACTATCTGAAATTTTTAAAGAACTGCCTTTAACCGGGCAACCGTAAAAGTGTTCAATGTTATTCGGTTTCCCATCTCTGTTCTTTCTTGATTGATTACGTTTATTAGTTCAAACTTCGTACTTGAAAAAATAACAGAGAAAAATTAGAAGCATGCATAACTATGAAAAGCAAGTCAGAATTCACAATTTAAAAAAAAAAAATCTTGGTAATCTCTCTAACGGACCTTGGACAATAGTCTACAAAATACTGCTGTATTCTGTATCATTTTCATCAGAAAATCCATTTATTTATTCACTCAAAACAGCATCCATGGAGTGCCTCTATTTTGCCAAGAATGCTGTGTGCTGCTAGGGATACAAGATATGTCAGGTTTTGAAGGTCCAAGATTCCTGAGAGAAAGGAAGTCTAAAATGGCAATTACATTTAGTCACGCCTTTCTCCTTGAGTTATCTGTAAATAAAAAATTTTAAAAATGCTGAAAGGCGCCCAGCCAGTGTGGCTCGGTTGGCTCAGCATTGTCCCATGCACCAGGAGGTCCCGGTTCGATTCCCCGTCAGGCACATGCCCGGGTTTCAGGCTCAATCCCCAGTAAGGGGCATCCAAAAGGCAGCCGATTGGTGGCTCTCTCTCATCGATGTCTCTCTCTCTCTCTCTCCCTCTCCCTTCTCTCTCTTAAATCAATAAAAACATTTTTTTTTTTTTCAATTATATGACAGCCGAGGCCACTCACTCTGACAATGCATTTCCCCAACGAGCCACTGTAAATCANGGCAGTCGATTGGTGGCTCTCTCTCATCGATGTCTCTCTCTCTCCCTCTCCCTTCTTCTCTCTCTTAAATCAATAAAATCATTTTTTTTTTAATTATATGACAGCCGAGGCCACTCACTCTGACAATGCATTTCCCCAACGAGCCACTGTAAATCATCTCCGCATCTGGCAACAGGGTCTCCGACCAGGGAGTATCCTTCCCTGCAGGTATAGACTATGTTTTTCCCCACAGGAAACCTGGTGCCTTCATCCTAAACAGAGATGGAAGAGAGAGAGAGCATGCCTACTTTGCATTAACAAAACGTTTCTTTAGATACACTCAGTCTATAAATTAGGCCTCCTTTTAATCATCAGACAACCTACATTCAAATCACTGATTTAAAAATTGCCTAGAAAAAATATTATTTTGTTTATAATCCTAGCTAGCTACACTGGTCCCACCGTCAACCGAAATAAAGCCAGTAATGCCATGTACTATAACTTATTGATTGTTTTCAAGAGATCAGATTTGGAAAACACCCTTGTCAGTCAACCCCTCACAGGGACGTGTTATGGGCTGTTCGCGGGCAATGCTGCCGGACGAGTGCTGGTGTGAACAGACAGATATGCTCAAATCCTATCAGCCTGTGCATGAAAGTCTATGTTTCCCCCCAGTGACTTCTGGGGGAAGCACAATGTTGCCCTCCCAGCCCACCCTGTAAGGAAAGTGCTGCCGGGCTGGGTCGGGTTCAAGGGCATGTCATCGCCTGGGATGCCAGGAGTGAGCTTTCTCGGCGAAGCACAGAAGATTCTGCAGCCCGAGCCTTGAGTGGGCGGTCAGGCTTGTTTGGGGTCTCTCTCAGCCCCTTGCCTTACCCCTCTGGTCTCTGCCACCCAAGGCTACAGCGAAGTAATCAGCCCAGGAGAGGGCTGGGCTGGAAGGTTCCACGTGCCTCCTTCCCATCGGGGCCTGGCCCAGTCCAGCTCCATCAGGGAAGCGGGCGGGACACAGAGGCCCCGGGCGATGCGGAGGCTCCAAGAAAATGGGGAAGGAGCCTCGACCTTCTTTTCACCCTACTTCCCGGGCCTTACAGAAGGGCTCCCCGTCTGGGAAAGGCAAGCTCGACGGTGTGTAAACTTGGCTCTATTTCAGAGCCCTTAGCAGCAAGTTAGAAACATACAGACTCTCAGGATCTGCCCTAAACCTACAGAATGAGAAACAATAGAGAGCAAACCGCAAGCAGCCGTCTCTAGTGCTAAGGGCCTGGGTGACCCACGGAGCCCGTCCGTGGGGCAGCGTTTGGAACCGCGAGCTCCCACGGGACAGCACGTGCACTGGAGTCTGGGGCAGCCTCAGGGCTCGCTGACCGGTGTCAGTCTGCCTGGCCTCGTGCCCTCAGCACCCGTTTCCTTCGGGAAGCTCATGGACTGTGGCGACCGTAGTGGGACAGATGAGCGTTAGTAATGCTGGGTTCATCTCGCTCCACACACCACACACACACACACACCCCACTCTTCCATCTCCCAGCAGTACCTGCATTTGGGGAAACTTCGGCAAGATCTCAGCGTTTGTATGTTCTGGGGCCTGGGATTTGAGAGGCTTTTGTTCGAAAGCAAGGCCGGCTGCACAGAGCCCTGACGAGCAGCACCTCCCGGGCGAGCCAGGAGGGGGCTTCGCTGGGTCTGGGGCCCAAGCCTCCCCATAACAAGGAGTGAGAAGGGCACAAGTTAACAGGGCCCCAGGGCCAAGAAGGTTCCCGAAAATGACAAGTAACGGGGCACTCGTGTTCCTTCCTGAACAAGATAATTGCCCAGAGTACAATGACCCGTATCTCACCAACACTCGCTCAATGTCTGGAATAAACCTAATACTTCACCCCAAACACCATATTTATGAGACTCTTTAAAAAAAAGACTTCTTTCAGTGGCAAGAATGAAGTCCTCACATTGAAGAACTTGCTTATAGATTCCTATTTTAGTGGGAATGGGAATGTTTAGCCGCCCTCTGGCATGATTACATTGCTAATTCATGGGGTGGCAGTGTTGATCTGCCTTGCCACAGAAGGCGGACTGCCTTCTGCAGAATTCTAACCACCTTCGGCCAAAGAACAAAAGTCTAAAAGCCCCATCACTAAAACTAAGATGCACACGTAAAATATTTAGCCCTGTTTCCTCGGGGAAGGACATCGATTGTGACAAGAGTAGAGAGGCAGAACTTGAAGCAGAGTATATGTAGAGGAAAAATGTATCTCTCATAACCAACTTGAACAAATCCATGGTCCAAGGCAGGCGGTGGTGGACAGAAGTCCCTCGGACCTGAAGGCAAAGGAAAGCAATGGGGTTCGAGCAATCTGGAAGGGAAAGGAAACAAATATAATTAACATGATGAATCGCCACAGTAGAATCAATAGTTTGCACCACAGCAATATTTTCATTTGCATCTGAAAGGACTGCATTCATGTACATACGTTGACATAATATTTTTGTTATTGTCAGGACCAAATATCTGATCACAACCTGTGACTGAAAATTCAAACATAAACTCAGGCTTGCAAAAGATAGCTACCAGGTCAGTAGTGGGGGGGGGGGGGGG